GACTGGAGTAATTTATCAAATGTATATGTGACTTTTAACTTCCATAGCTATTACAGAACGATGAGAAAAAGTGTGACTCATCAGTGATCTAGGTGAATCCTTTTAACTGCACAAGATATCACTAAAGGTGACAAGACGAGGTGTTAATCATGAGTGATAACAGTGTGCTATACTGATCAAGCCATACTGGCACATTTATAATTCCTCTAGGTCATTTGTCTGCTAAAGGCTACAACACGCCAACAAAAGTGTGACTGTCAATTGTAAACAGTGTCTCTAGGAACATAATGGAAGGACCCCCCTTTCACCAGCAACCGTGGTGACATTGTCTTATGGCATCATCTGTAGTTGGCTCCATGACGGCTACAGAGGAGGAGTAGGCGGATTCTCTTAAGTAGCAGATGTCAAACTTTGATTACAATTCAAGAATCTTGATCTGTCTGGAGTGAGTTAAACATGGACAAACAAGGATAAACAATGGATTATCACAATCTAATATAACATGACCTGCAGATTAAGAACATCCAAAAGATAATTCATTGATTTGATTTTGTGTGTCTGGTTCATGTTTCAGGGCAGACACTGTTAGCGAAGTGACAGGGATAAATATGGGATTAACTCCAACAAACACATTTGTTTGAAGGCTGATTGGTCAAAGGGTCCAAATGGTGGGGTAATTTTGTTTCCTGTTGTCCATTCCCAACTCTCTTTGATGCCACTGAACCTTCAAATCACATGATACTATGGAGTATATCGTATAGATTGTAAGGGGTAGATAACTTCATTAATTGACAATACATCACCCCTACTAATGCTGCCCACTAAACTGATCAAGTCCCCACAAGGGGTCGTAAACAATAGATAGGCTGAACTTGATTAAGGCAGCAATTTAGGAGTGTTTCCATGTCTTTGGATCAATAGATCTTATCTACCTACTATCGATAGTACCTACTGGATCAGCTGTGATACTTTACATTGAGCACATACATAAATGGGAATCATGAGCCATAAAATGGCCCAGCTACACATTTCCAGTCTCAGCAAATGATCCATATTCTTATTTAAAGAGGGCTCTTTTTCTGCCTCTTTACTTTCTACTTTTCCTCTAACACACAATTGGTCAGAGAACTATGTGGTATCCCAAATACCCAAGAGAATTGCATTGCTTAGTTTAGCCAGGATCAGCTGATTGTAGCTTAGACTCACCCCAATTAGGATCCTTCATACATCAACATCATACAAATACTTGTGGGTTTCACTGAAAGGTAAATGTCTATAACCTGCATCACTTCAGGCTTTCTTCTGACATCAAGCCAATCTGCCATGATATAACTGTTGAATCTAAACCTGTTCCCTTCAACAAATACCCAAACAATGTTTCATTTTGCTAAAGTTGAAACTTGCAATTTCGTTATCAGTGCTGGAAGGTTAGCAACATGTCTCTATTTCTACAGCAACCTAGAGACCATCTACATGCTCTCATTATCTAATCCATACAATGTTCCAGTCAAACATGCAAAGTTTATTGTATCCATGTGAATTTGATCAACTTGTTAAACTTGACATAAACTCACGATACCGACTAATCCTTCCTTTCATGTTCAAGTTGTTTACAGTGATGTAACTCTCATGAAGCTAATCACAAAGTGTCGGTCTGTTCATACGGTGAAAGTTCAAAGTGCTGAATGGTGTGAAGATACTGAGTCATACTGGCAATAACAAGGAAACTTATAATATGAGTGGGTAGGTGGTTGGGTGGGTGAGCAAGTGAGCGAGACAGCAGGTATGTGAGTAAGATTTGGTTTTGTCCTTTTAACAGTATTATGGTTAGATAACAGTATGCCAGGTAATCTGAGAGGAACAGGTCATAGATTATTATATTTAATTAATGCTGGTGTGATTCTGATAGAACAAGGATTATAATTGGCAATATTTCTAACAACCTGGCTTTTGTATGATGCATCTTAAAACAAAGGTTCTCAACACAGCATCTCAGACCACTCAGCAGCCACCAGTGCTCCTGGCAAGACTGGAAGCAGCCTGAGGAAGGGAGGCTGACATTCAGTTCCAGAAAGAGAGTTATAATATTCAAAACTTCATTTCTATGAAAACAAAATAAAATCCAAAAGGAGACTTTAGACTTGCCTAACCATTCTAGTCCTATGTTGGACTCCTTTCTATATACTGACTAAGGTCTCGGAGACAGACTATTTGAGGTTAAAAATGGCTATGATGAACATCTTGCTGGTGACATGTATGACCTTGAAGATAGCAGAGACCTTGAAGATAGCAGAGTGAGTGGAGTGAGATATAGGGAAAACCTGGATTACATGACTGGGGGCCAAAAGGTAGAGCATCTGGTGGTGATCCAAGAGAGGAGAAATATTACCTGGCTATTGGCTACAGGGAATATGAAGGATGAACAGAAACAGGCTGTGAACATGATGGCTGACAGTGATGATAGCCATATTCTGGAACATTCCAGTATTGTCACCCAGTTCTATATAAACACCAACTTCCTGTAAATGCAGTGATGGCAGTTCTAGAACTGTCACAACTCATAGACTTTAACATGGATTTATGACATCCAGAGTGCTAAGATCACTTTGGTAAACATATGTCTGAATAAGTGGTTAGACACCTTGGTATTGCCTGACAAGCTCACGTGGACATGGCCCATCACTGATCTACTACAGCTGTACAGTGAATAATACTAGTTATATATATTGATAAAAACATAACATACAGACTGCTCCTTATGTTCTTCTTTTTCAAGTCTTTGGGACCAAGGTATCATTTCTTACAAACATAAACATTTATTTTTAGCATTTGGCATATTGTTTGTTAATGTGTTTGATAAGCTTTCTCCACTATCCTTAAGAACTTCTCAATTTAGTTTGAAGATAACAGAACAGGGTGATCTAGAATCGCAGAAATGATTGCACATATTCCTGGTTGAAAATGATCCTTCCTATCAGGGTAAATGTTTAAAACAAAAATCAAAGAAAATCATCCAACCTTCTGAAATCTGATGTGAGACAGTTAGAGCCACAAGCACCAGTGTAAATACGTCTTTCTTATCTGCCACTCAAATGATGCAGGCATAAGTATTGTCTAACAGTATATATCCTACTTTTTATCACTGAGCGCATAAAAGCAATTATATCTTGTTTGAATTCGTACAATATCACACAGCAACTGCAAGATTCACCACAAATATTTAAATGATCACTTTCATTTTCTTGAAATAGTAGGCAAACAATTATCATTGCAGTCTTAACATTTCTGCCACCATTAAACATATCACCTTCATGCCAAAACTCATGTGTAAAGTATTAGCTGCTCTTATTTCTGCCTTTATAACAGTTTGCCTTTATAAGTATTAGGAATTTTCCATTTCAAAACCTCTTAAAGCCATGATTACACAATGCCATTTAGAAAGTGGTCAAATGCAACATATGTTATATTTGGGATTACACTTTCTTAGTAAAGTACAAATTCTAGTACTTTTTGGGGGGTTGAATCCCATCCAGGATTCAAACCCACACCCTCAGAGTCAGGCACCAAATCGCCAGCACACAAAGTGTCATCACCATACCCATTGTGTAAAAAGTCAGAATTAGTAGAAACATAATTGTTTGTTAGATTAAGCAAATTTTAAAATTCTTCTGTTTTACTATCATTTATAACAAAGAACATGAAAAATTCACTACACTTTTAACTGAGTGCTGTCATGACTGATACCAAAGAATTACACAAACCAAAATGATTCCATACTGGTAATTTTTAGCATTTTGACAGCATTTTTAGCCTCTTCTCTGAAAATACCTCAGTAGCTTACACTGACATTTTTCTCTTCTCCATCCCAGGCAACCCGAGGGCATTACTGGAGGATCAGACATATCATGCTTATTTCTGTTCTGATTGCGCAGGTTTTATCACAAACCTAAAAGCTTCCAGCTGCCAGTTTTGGTGCAGTGATTGAGTCCCCAGGAATACATGCATTTGTCATTTCCTTCAATTACATCTTAAATCAGAGATAATTGAACAAAAAGGACAAAACATTAAGCATTTGAAAGATAAAAATTCAAATTTTGGAGAAGGATCTTTAATAGGAGGTCAAAACGCAACATTTCAGTAAACTAATTGTATCACTTTTCAGCAGCTGTACCATGAAGATTTTCAAATGAATACTTAAATAAAGGTTACCAATTCTTCCAGTGTTTAGCAAGGCAATATAGTGAACATACACTATCACAAGCTTGGAGATGGCCCTGTTTGATGTAGTTTCACAAGGGAATAAATAGAGTTAATGTGCATGAACTTACAATTTCAATTCCATCAGTTCGACTGAACCATGTTCAACCTATCAGCATGCATTTACAAAAGGGTATCATTCAGAACTCACAAAAAGCTCAAGGGACGTTGCATAACAGGCAAACAGCCAATGCCATAACTGTTGTGTTTAATGACTTTAAATGTCTATGGCTGATCGAGGCCAAGATGGTCCCTCGAGAAAGAAAATCTCTGTAAATGACAATCTGTTCGTTTGAAAAATTGCTCAAAGCATAATCAAATCTTCTAATTCATTTGTCCCAATAAACAAAATTCTATTGTTTTTCTTCAGAATGAGAAAGCATTGTCATTATTATCATTGCAGTTCAATATTCCTTTTGTTCCTACGCCTACGCTCGATGACTGACAACATGGTGTTAATTCCATTTGGTGTGAACAGAAAAATATTTTTCAATATTAATAGCTGCGTGTCTCCAGAACTGAATGTTTGAGGTGAGAATGGTTTCAAACTTTCAGTAATATTCCTGCATTCATTGAAGGGGACACCAGAAACATTGAATCAAGTATAGAATTAAACCAGGCCTCCTGCAGTAAGAGCAAACACTTCAACCACTTGACTATTCCACTACTCATATGAGAAAACTGAGTGTTACTGGCATCAGGACTAGAATTTGTTTATGGGACTAGGAATTCAGTGAACCTACCCTCAGCTGTCTGTAGTGATACCAGCTCGCTGTATGGACTTTCCCCAGCATGGTTGTGGGCCTTGACTCGAGCATTGTAAATACTGTGAAAATGTAGTCCATCAACAGTGCATATCATCTCCCGCCCTACATACACCACCTGCAACAAAGAAATACTTATTGTACATTCATAGAATAAAGTAAACAGTACTGCAGAGAAGATATAAGGGGTTTAATGTCACATTTAAGATCATTGCATGCGTACATGCATGTATGTGTATGTGTGTGTCGATGCTTGTACTAGTGAAGACTAATGAGTGAGTGCGAGCCCACTGAGATACCACAAAGCACTTATACATGGATACGTCAGTTGGACACAGTATACAGACTCCAACTGACTGTGCTTTATCCCCTTAATGCTGAGCACCAGGCTGGGTTACAACAAGTACTATCTCTTAACATCTTTAGGTATGATTTTGCCTGGGATTAAACTACTGACCTTGTTCTCTCTGTGCCAGAGAGGCAGTCATGTACATAGAGAATGGTTAGGGTAAAAATGCATATTTCCATACGTCATTATATTCTTCAGCCAAACAATGTAAGAGATGATGCACCTGGTAATTTACATCTGTTATCATCATCATCATCATTATCATCATCCCCTTGTCATATTTTTTGCAGACTCAGCACAATAATCAAAACAACGACACTCAAACTATACTGGAAAATCTCCAAACAGATAGACCATCAAAGTGGAATTAAACTATTCTTGGGGTAATCAGGCACTTTTGCATGGTTGTCTTTGTCCAAGTCCAATAAAATGTTCATTCTGATTTTTGACACCCAAGACAGACTGTCTCTTCTTACTACCGAACACTTCCTGTATATTACAACAGTGAGAAATAATGCTGCAATAACAATGTTCCACTGTTATCACAAGGTCTCTTGTAACTTTTCAAAACCAAATCATGTCTGCGGTGCCTTGCTTATCTCCCTTTGCATTTCCTGGATCTTAAACAATGGATGACTCAAGCTGAACATTGTGTCTCCATTCTACATTCTTCTCACAGCACATCATCCAAGAAAAATGTATGTGAGAAATTGTTCATTTGCTCATTAGTGATAAGAAGTTTCCGGTATGATAAATGTTAAATGTGAAAAGGACGCTGAGAACATAACACAATATCTGCAAATGTCAAAGATGCATCATTTGAAAACCTTTTCGTTAAGGTATATAGCTTATATATTCATTGTAAACTATTTAACATTTTGATTTGGTTGGAAACACGAGACAGAATCTTTAATTTTGATGTCTCTAAGAATGTACATAAACACTTATAATTGATTAACAGACATTCAGAACATAAGAGTACTCATATCCCAGACTGCATCTACATTTATGGAGCTACCACTCACAAAAGTTTTCACATATTGTTAGAAACTGATAAAACATGACAGACTGACTTCATACATAAATAACATCTGAGTGAAAAAAAAATAACCAAAAAACCCCTCAGAAGTCATCAAAACAACCTAGTAAAAATGAAAGTGATGGTAAGATGAGTATTTATTTAGACAGTTGTAACACATTTCATTTTCCAGACAATGGTATCGGTTCTCATCTGCCCTACATAAAGCACTGAGTTTGAACCTTAACACTTGACATTTCCTAAGGATGCAATTTAAGATAGTGCCAAACACTCTGCATTACACAGAATAAAAAGGCTGAAGAAAATTAATTCCAAAAATACCTGACAGGTAACCTGTAGCTAATATTAGAAATAGCAGTTTACAAATTAATGTCTGTCAAACTGAATCATATATTTCATCTGGATGTAATTCATACTCTCTTCTATTTAACTTAGAACGCTTCAGCTGCCATAAACCCAGCCAAGCAATGAGAATCTAAAACTATAAACTTAGAAGTATGTGTTGAAAGGTTAATGACATTCACCACATCCAGAGCTAACATTTCACAGCTTTCAAATTTCACATAAGCAGTATGGCTGAGCTATCAGTAAGTAACAATATTGTTATGACAATGTCTGAGGCAGCACTATGCAAGTGCATAACTATCAACTAACCATTAAGTATACTACAACACTCACTGTACCTTTCAAATCAAGTATTTGTTTCTACATAAACTACCACAATTGTCAGCATTAGTCCCCTTGAAATGGACTGTTCCCATCCATTGTGATGTATTTGACTTGAAAGTGGAAACTAGTTTTGTAATGTATGTACCACAAACCAACAATTCATACAAAATGGTCACCATTACTTTTCAAAGGCATATTTTGGTACAGAATAAAATCTTTTTCAAAGGCATGTTCATAAAGTATGGTCAAGACTAAATTACCAGTGGCATGTCCTTTGTCATGGAGGAATACATGCAAAATCCAGTGTACACACTCTGTAAATATGTGTAAACTTATGCAAAAGGTACACACCTACATAATCGTAAACATATTGAAGTCAATTCTTGCAAATGAACTGGTGAACAAGTAACATGACAGACATCTTATTCAACCATTAGCACTCAAAAATAGAGTTGAAATCAGTGATCTCGTTCAGTACACAACTGCAAAATAGGCCCTATCTATGCTATTATAATACAATCAGGAAACAGTTGCCCACTTTTAGAGGTATCCAATTTGTTTAAGGTTAATGGACACATAAACACTTTAAAACATCATTTGGCTATGTTATCAACTTCCATTGAATTACTTGAAAGCTATGCATTACATGCCTTAACCTTTTGAAAGGCAAGTTTGCACAAAATAATTGTCAGAACCATAATTTGTTCTATGCCAACTACTGACTAGTCCCCATAGCTTTTTGAATGGCATATATTCCTACAGACTGGTCCCCATAGCTTTTTGAATGGCATATATTCCTACAGACTGGTCCCCATAGCTATTTGAATGGCTTATATTCCTACAGACTGGTCCCCATAGCTTTTTGAATGGCATATATTCCTATAGACTGGTCCCCATAGCTTTTTGAATGGCATATATTCCTACAGACTGGTCCCCATAGCTTTTTGAATGGCATATATTCCTACAGACTGGTCCCCAAAGCTTTTTGAATGGCATATATTCCTATAGACTGGTCCCCATAGCTTTTCGAACAGCACATATATCTACAGATTGGACAACATTGCCTTTCCAGTAGGTACCCATAATGTTTCAATAGCAATGCTTCATAAAAGAATTATATTGTCTTTAATTGAACATTCCTACAGAATTTTCACCACAATTACTTCCACAGGCATGTTTGCACAGATCTGTCGCAACTGCTTTCAAATGGAATGGACTTAACTACAATCTACCGTATAATAAAAGGCAGAAACCCCACATAATATGTTTATTAAATCACAATCTATCCAACTATCAACATACCATACAGACTTTTGTCAGCCCAGTGTGACATCCAGAGCATAAAAAGAGATTTGATAAAATAACTTCTTCAAATTTGATAAAAGAGTAATTACAAACTATTGTCCTCCACCTGCCAGATTCCACCATAGGAACCTATGGGGTCATGACAATCTTCTCTGATGAATCAAAATTACATTCCTTATATCATGTGTTATAATCACCTGTATATTAGGTATGTGTATCCAAAGAAGGCTGAAATAAGGTGCTGTGATGCCTATTTCTTTTCTGGAGAGATGACACTTGCACCAAATGACCTTAATTGGTACCAGATCTGAGTAAGGGTCTTTAATACACTCAGTGACCCTCTAAATTCTTAACAATTTAATTTCTGGGACTGTTTTTCTCAACAATGACAGACTCAATTAGATTTGACAGCGTCAAGGAAAAGATTTCAGTCTTCATCACAGAAACAATTATTCACATTGTTTCGTTGTAGAAATAGGTTGGTGAGATTATTTTTTATTTTTGGCACATAAATAAAGACTATAAATAATCTCACTTTTGGGCAAAGATTAATTGAGAAATTATTGTGTTAGTCTTACAAACAACAGTGTAAACTGTACTTCAGTTTCCAATCAAAATAACCTTTAATGATTGTTTGGCAGAAAAAAGAACACCTTTGAAAAACACATGATGACCACAAACAATACTTCTATGATGGACAATAATTTTGAATGGATGGCAAAAATCAATGAAAATCATTCTGGAAAAACAAGGTGGAATTGTCAAGCCATGAACAATGGAAAAAAATCTCCACAAAGGTCTTTGTTTTCTTGATTTGCACAAAAAAATTGTTTCTTTGAACAGTGTCCCTCAACTGGAAGAAATTCTACATTGAGACTCAGACCTAATATTCTCAGAACTTGTTAAGTCGCTTGTCTTTGTCCAAGACCCCAGACAATATGCAAATTAAAGTGGACTGACAAGACCATGCACTCAGACTACAGTTTCGTCCCATCAATGCCACTTTGGCACCTGATTGAGAGTTATTTGCTCATTCACAATTTTAATTATTCACATGATTATTGGATAAAGTCTGATGACAAGTTTAATGTAGAAATTTTAAATCATAATTTGCCTGTGTCAGCTGTCATAATTCATCCTTTTGATTAAGAAGAAATATTGAGATTACAAGCTGATTTGAGGCAAAGAAAAAAAAGAAGATAAAACAATTTTATCTGAAGATTATGATAACGCCAACAACTGACATTCCAAAATGTCAAACATAAAAATTAATTTTGAATTTAAACATGAAATTTAAATGAATCAGCTGTACAATATTTGTGCATAATTACTGCCATGTTTATAAAATTAACTAAATGAACTTATATAGACAGACAGACAGACAGACAGATTGTTTATTATAGTCTCACCTCGTTACAGTCATTTTGATAAAAACGTACATACATAATATATACATGATAAAAACTATACATAACCTAAGACAATATAAGCGTAAAAGTAACAAGCCACCCTGTACAGAGTTACGAGAGACTTTAAAATTATAACATCTATAAAAACATTCAAATGTTAAGAACTGGATCAACCATGCACCAAAATATTTGTTAATTTGGTGTTGTACCCAATTTTAAATCAAATGAAAAAATGAACATAAAATGGAAGAAAGTAGGAACAGTTGTTATCCATTGTATTGTCTTTTCCTTGTTATAAACAAAAGGGGGTGCTACCCATTTCATCATAAAATTAAAAGGTCACAGGG